GCTCTTGACTGTGTACAACCCTCAAAAAAGAAGGTTGCCTTAACATAGACAAGACAAGGAGGGTTAAAGAGAGCATGAAATAGGTAGTGAAGGTCCTAAGAAAAATCAGAGAGGGAAAGAGACAGATGAATGCTGGTACAAGAAGTGGGTTGCAGCCTCTCCAAGGTTGTCAACCCTATTTCCTTCCATCTTGGGACCATTATTTGGGTTCTTTTTGCTTTTTTCTGCTGGTCCCTAGGCCTCAAATAGGCTGACTAACTCTGAAACAACAGATAAATAATTTGGTAGCAAAACCTATTCAATTACACTATCATAAGTTAGCTATGGAGGACCACGAGACTCAAGATGAGGTTGTTACTTTATACAGGGTGCTCCCAAAACCCATCTCCACCCAACCCAAAAGGGGGGACTTCTGCCCCTAGACCAAGCAGAGAGGGGCCACCCAGAACCCCCTCTGACAGGCGATCTGAATTCTTGCTTAGGCTGCGAGGCTAAGCACTGTAAGGGAATATAAATAAAAGATAAAAATATCTATCTGGGTTCCCTGAGGGACAAGCCTGAGTGCATAGGGGTTGATGTCAAAAGTGTCCCCTCTCCAGGAAAAAGACATCGGGACGGGTATGGCCCTCATGCCTCACTGGACAACTACAGGGGTACTGGAGCCATTACAAGGTCCCCTTCAGATACTGGAGGTCAGGCCTCTATCCCCGCCTTTGCAAGTTTAGAATTGCCACAGCCCTTCTATACTTAGAGAAGGGAGGAGATGTCAGGGGCATCCCTGCTTACCCACTGAAGGCCTAAAATCAGCAATAGGCCTAAAATCAGCAATAGGCCTGTCATGCATGTATACTAAGACCAAGTCTTGGGTCTCAGTGGAAAAACATTGAAACAGATGGCTATAAGCTAATGTCAACAGGCAGCTTGTGTGGAAATTTATCATCCTGAGTAGTCATAGACCTTGTAAATAGGTAGCCTTGGCAGACAATACCAACTTAGATAAGGACAAGTGAGTCATAGGCAGAGTCACAGTGACTTGTCCCCTGAACCTTCACCTAGCTGATACCCGGTTCTGAAGATATCTGTATTCCCCCTGAACACCCACACTCCAGTGTCATTCCCTTCCCCACATCCTGCCTTTATGTGTTTATAACCCCTGTGTGAATTAATTACGATTTGAGAAAAAAAAAGAAAAAAGATTAAATAAAAATTTTTTTACCAAAAAAAAAAAAGAAAGACCAATTCTCAACTTCATATGAAAAAACAAAACCACAGGATAGCCAAAACAATTCTCAACAATAAAAGTATTTTAGATATTTTCAAAGCTAAAAATGTTACATTTTGACATACTTTCCAAGGAGACAAAAACTGAAATATAGCTTTGAATTGTGTACTAATTGTAATGTGATTTAAATGTGATTTGAATTTTTCTTGCAATTTAAACCATTGTCATGCTTTACAGTATCATTTATTAATTATAAAAATCGATGTAAAACATGTTGGAAAATCACGTTATATGATAAACAGCAACAGAAATTCTAAAGTATGCTTCTGATTCTCCATAATGTTAATTTATGATAATTAAATTACAAAGAAATTGTACCCCCCAAAACTGTTACGATTTTATACAGACAACGTGTCTCAAAAGAGTTAGCATTAAATATATTAGACAATATGACAAAAATCATTATCAGATGTCTAAATAACAATGTACATTGTATATAAGTGCAGGAATTTTGAAGAAATAGTAATGAATTTATGTTGTTTAATTAGTATATTTTAGCAGTATTCCAAGTGGCTTACATAAGACTACATTATTTTTCATTTTTTGTCAACTACTGTCATTACATTCTTTGTGTTTATTGAGCATTATATCTAGATGCTTGCACCTAGTGAAAAAAAAATCACAGATCTCTTTAAAATACTACTTGTGAAGTACAATATTTCACTCTTGCATTCATGCACGAAGAGGTATGCCCAGAATATTCAACAAATAAAGGCTTGGCAGCTCTTTATTTCCACACTTGTGAATCAAGACAGGTGCTAATGACTCAACTGTGGACAATTGAGACTTACACATACAGAAGGTGCTACTGATTATTTCCCCAGTAGAATAGCAACTAACTTCAGCCAACTTATTCCAAGTAATAAGTCCTTAAAGATTTGTGAAAGCCACATTTTCTACCTCAGATGCATTATCAATTCCAGCTTTGTTAAGTTGTAAGTAACAAACTGCTAAGTTTCCATTTAAATATTCTGATATTTTCTGTTATCTCCTGAACATTACAGAAGTTCATTCTTGTTGTCTAATTGAAACATCACAGTCAGCAATTTAAAATATGATTTTCTGATTTGTAGGATATTTATCTTTCACCTCCCAACATCTCATATACAAAGAGCATTATTTACATGATGTATACAAATTTATATTATGATTACGTTAACTCTTCTTTCATATGGTAAGAATAAATATTTCTATTATTTAATTCTACATCCATCCAGTACCTTAAAGATATCATGCAAATTTAAAAAATAAAATTTAAAGAATCGAAATTTGTATGAAAAACATATGATTCCTTATTAATTTAATAAAATCCTAATACTTTTAAATGTTTTGCAACTATTTTCATTAAGCATTCCAGTGAAATATTTTAAGAATTATTTTCTATTTTCCCCATTTGTTTACCATAATAGGACATGTTCATAATTTGGATTTTAAGAAAGCTTAGATGGCCTGCCACAGCAGTTCTGTTGTTCACTATGGTGTGCTGATATTAAGGTAGTATATCTAATTTGTAGTTTTCTGTCATTCAATTTGTGCTGTTGGTAACTATAGCAGTTAAATGTAGACTTTTTTATCAATGAAAATTTTATATTCAATAAATATTATGTTAAATTTTTATTTACTTGTCTATTAATTTTCATGTACAATATATTATTTTTTCATGTGTAAAACATGAGTGATACACTATATATATACATATATATGTATAAATATATATTCTATACTTTATAAAGGTTTTTTTAAATACTTGTCCTAATAATAATATAATTTGTGGTGATATGTTTGTTTATGAAAATAACTCTGTTCTTGTCTATGAACATAGTATAATTTTGATAATCATTAGCTCATCTGATAAGGATTTGCAGGGTTCCATTTTTAACTGTAATAAAAAAACTATAGTGTTGTAGGACTACTCTTATTGCATTTTTGTTCGTGGATGAGCATACATTTGGAATGTTGTCCTGTAATCGTATAATGCATCTGAAATTTTTTCCATTCATTTAAATAAGTTCCTTTGTGATGATACATCAGACTTGCTATATAAAGAATGCAAAATAAAAGTTGATCATGTCTTTAGGAGTAAAAATTTTTGAGAACCGAATTCTCAGTCATTAGTATTGTAAATGAGCCTTTAATTTCTATCCAGAGGTCATGGATTTGAAAGGGACCAAGGATAATGATATAAGAAAGTTTGGAATGAGAAAAGAGAATGGGAAATAGAACAAATTACATTTTAATCTCAAAAATAATTAATTTCCAAAAAATCATTCCATCTTTATTATTTCAGCCCCCTTTCCGTTTTTACTAGTATAGAGTGATACCTGATTCACTATTCTTCCAAAGGTCTCTGATCTGGAATATAGACAGGGTCTAAGGTGGATAGGTTTAAGTGAGTGGACTTGAACTTATAGAATGATCATTTCAATGGTGATGCATCAATATCCATCAATATGGAAGAGTATGCCAGGCTTACTATATACTGCCTGGAAAGGTCCCAATATGTTCTTGAAGTTTCAGGTGCCTCACATGCTTTTTCAAATTTACAAATGTTCTCTGAATGTTAAAAAAAAGTTTGCTAATTGTGATTAATGAGATACACACATATCTCACAAAAAAACAAACAAATTTATACCCCATAAAGTTCAATACATGTGTTAATTTGAGCAGTAATATAAAAGAACACAATTTATTTTACACAAAATACATTTGTGGAAACAGTTTAAATGTAAAATGCTAAAATACAACTATTGAAAACAATGAATATTTTTGGTAAATGTTGTATTGAGCAAATGTTTTCCCCATCTTACTGAGAGCTTTCAAACACATGTCAGTGGCTACAAGAAAAATGGTAAATCCTACGCACTTTCTTGTTATTCTTTTCATGTAGGAACATTTAGAAACCCTGCTATTACACAGAGCTTTACTTTGGAGTTTGAACTTACTGTGTTTTCTACTTGCAATACTTTTTTTATACACCCACATATCTCATACTGGATCTTATAGAGAGTCATTCACTGGTCATCTTACATTTGACAGACTGATTGATAATCCACAGTGATGTTTAACTATTAATCTCTAGGATACATACATACTATTTATATGCAGGAACTGTGTGTTGACCTGTGAGTCAGAGGAAGACCATAGAAGGCAAAAAGATCTTGCATTATGAGTGTTGGACCTGTATATAATCAAGAGTTCTTTCAACATGATAAAGAAGAAGAAACAGTAATGAAAGGCAAATCCAATTTATTGTTGTCTTAGAAGAAAAGGCTTATTACTACAGACAGTGTGTTCAAAATGTGGGTATTTGGCTACAAAATGTTTCATCTTGTAGACCTCTACCTAGGAGTGTGACTTCATAGCTATGGAATTGAAATATATTGAAATAATTATCCCCAGGATGGTTGAAGATCCTTTGTCAAGATATGGCAAGCTTATATTCCACCTATGCATAATGCTGAGACATAACAGAGAATAAGAGTTTTAGTTCCAAGATTGTGTACTCAAATCTCAATTCTACCAATGGAGAGCTTTGTGTCGTTAAAAGAGTTTTTTCTTATCCTTTTCTATTCTGACTTAGTTGACAACAGGAAATAAACAAATGCTCCTTGAAATTATTTGAGTCTGATTGTATAGATCTTGTAGCACACTATGGGCTGCTGCTGAAGTTTGTTTCATCTACCACAGGGTAATCTCTCAGTGGCTCATGAAATGATGACTCTCAGATCCTGGAGGAAGTATTTTTAGGTATTTATTTTTTATTTACATCTCGTGAAAAGAAGGAGCTGTAGACCACTGAAAGCATGAGAGATTGGAATCATACAGGTGTGAAGGAATTCATACTCATTGGCTTAACAGATAATTCTAATTATCAGGTTCCACTCCTTTTGCTTTTTAGCATAGTGTATCTCATCGTTCTTGTGGGTAATTGGGGGATGATTATCTTGATCTGGTTGAATGCCCACCTTCATACCCCAATGTACTTCTTCCTTAGTAACCTCTCTTTCTGTGACATCTGTTACTCTACTGTCATTGCTCCTAAAATGCTCATCAATTTTCTATCAGAACACAAATCTAGCACATTTTTTGGCTGTGTTCTTCAGAGTTTCTTTTTTGCAGTGTATGTAACCACAGAAGGTATTCTCCTGTCTATGATGGCTTATGATCGCTATGTGGCAATTGCAAACCCATTAATGTATACAGTTATTATGACCCACAGCATCTGCAGTCAGATGGTTCTTGCATGTTATTTAGGTGGCCTCATTAATTCCCTGACTCACACAATAGGTTTACTCAGACTGGACTTCTGTGGTCCCAACATTGTGAATCACTTCTTCTGTGACATCCCTCCTCTTTTGAAGCTTTCATGTTCTGATGCACACATCAATGAAATGCTGCTTTTGGTCTTCTCTGGCGTGATTGCTATTTTCACTTTCATCATTGTCATGGTTTCCTATATCCAAATTATCATTGCCATCCTGAGAATCCGCTCAACTGAGGGGAGACGTAAAGCCTTCTCCACTTGTGCCTCACATCTGACAGCTGTGACATTATTTTACGGTTCTGTGACATTTAGCTATATCCAGCCAAGTTCTCAGTACTCCATGGAACAGGAAAAAGTCTCTGCTGTGTTTTACACCTTGGTCATCCCCATGCTGAACCCTCTGATTTACAGCCTGAGGAACAAAGATGTGAAAGAAGCAGCCAAGAGATTGATTTGTAGGGAGAGGAACACCTGTTGAATATGTCACTTCTCTGGCTTCGAAAGCTTGATGTGAGTTTTTAAAGTGATATAGTTAGAATTTATTTGTTTTTTGTGAAAGGCAGGAAGAATTTTAGACCAATATATTTTAGTCATTTTAATTTATCAAATACTGTATTGTCTCAGAGAAAACTTAGCATGTCTCTTGTTATGTAGTTTTCTGGATTCTTTTACATGGCTCTACAAAACCTCTATAAAAGAAGAAATTATTATGTCCAATTTTGTATATAACTTTGTATAAAATTTGTAAATGGCTAAACAAAAATGTAGCTTGTGACTTAAAGCTTTAAATAAACTAACATATGAAGTAGCTCTTTTGATACTATTGCTCTGACATAGAAACTTAACTAAGGATTTGCAGCTAATAGTATTAGATGAGTAAGGACTGGAGAGATTTTTCAGGATAATAACCTGTAAAAGATTGGCCATTATTGGGGCTTTAGTTAAAACTGAACACATGCATGACACTGTTTCATTGGCCAAGATCATGACACTAGATAGCTAAAGGGGCTTAGTGTGAAAAACATATATATATATCTGATCTACTACAAAAAGATATCAAAAATGCCTCCTAATGACATTTTGCTATACTTATTAAGTTACTTGTTCACCTATTATTCAGAGAAGCTTCCTCCTGTAGCAGATGGGAACAAATAAAAAAATCAATGGCCAGATAATATGCAGAGGTTGAGACATATTTGAACACTCAGCCCTATATAGGATGTCTAAATCAAAACCCTCTCTTCTGATCTCAGTGTAACCTGTTGAAGAGGAAGTAGAATAAGTGAAACATAGAGGGGCTGGACGATATTAAAAAAATGCTCTAAATCAACATGAGAAACTAGTATATGAACTCACAGAGTACGAAGTCTGAGGATGCATACACAGAGCCTGTGGAAGTCTGTACTAGATGAGTTCCTATAATTTAAGAAAAAGTGTACACATACTCCCATCCCTAAACCAGAAGTTATCTCCAATTGAAAACCATGTGCCAAAAAAAAGTAATTTTCTCCAAGAGAGAAATAAACTCCCTGGGGAAGTAAACTACTTTTCACAGTATACCACATGCCTAAACACAGATGACCAAAAGAAAACAGACTCAACGGCATCTTTTGAGATTTCTAGTCACATAATTTTATTCTGTGATATTTTTGTTTTGTTTCATTTTTAATTTTATCATATTTTAATTTATATTTTAATTTTAAATATATACATATATATGGATACATGCATATACATTGATATGCATATACATAATGTTTGTCTGTCTGTATGTATATATTCTGTTCTTATCTTTCTTTTTTGTATATCTTATGCATCCTAGTACAGTGTTTGCATAGGATTAATGAGTTTGTGAATGACTAGATATCTGAATCTGTATCTTTGTCTGTGCCTTTTTTGGTTTTCTTTTCCTCTTTTCTTTTTATACTGTTATTTTGCTAGTTTTTTTTATTTCATTTTATTTTATTTTAGCATTATTCCTTAGAAGCCCATTGTTTTATTATTAGAGACAGAAAAGGGGTGCATTCAGATGGGAAGGGAGGTTGGAGTAAATCGGGAACTAGAGAGTGAGGAGAACATAATCAGGATATATTATATGAGAAACTTATTTTCAATTTAAATAAACAAAGAGTCATTACTTATATTGAATAAATACTTGTTGAATTGAGTCTTTAACATAATATAATTACTACAGAAATTTTTCTTTTTCTTTTCCAGCATTATAATACTGTTCTGTGGCCACTTTGTCATGAGCTTACAGGGTGGTCATGATGCAATTGGCATGAGAATGCAATATGAGGCAGTAGGAAGTTTATAAGGTAGGCTAGTCTCATGTGACAGGGTCATGATAATCCTTTAAAATTACCAGAGAATGAGTGTGGTTTTTTTATATCATATGGAATAAAATCAATGTAAAAGAAAGATATTTACTTATCCTCTTTTTTCTCTCTCACATGACCCACTCCTCACCATATGATATTGATAAGAATAAGCATATCATGAAAGGATAGGTTTGTTTGGTTTTTTTTTTTCAGTTACATAAGTCAATGTCTAGTCTGAACTCTCTCAAGACTTCAATGTGAGTGGTGTCTCTTCAGTCACTGAGTTCATTTAAAATCCATTTTTTCCTTTTTTTTAATTGGCTATTTTCTTTATTTACATTACAAATGTTATCTCCTTTCCAGGTCTCCGGAAACCCCTATACCATCCCCCTCCCCTGCTTCTGTGAAGGTGTTTCCCCACCCACCCACCCACTCCCACCTCCCTGTCCTCAAATTCCCCTACACTGGAGCATTGAGTCCTCACAGGACCAAGGTCCTCTCCTTCCATTGATGCCTGACAAGGCCATTCTCTGCTACATATATGGCTGGAGACATTGGTCTCTCCATGTGTACTCTTTGCTTGATAGTTTAGTCCCTGGAAGCTCTAGGGGGTCTGGTTGGTTGATATTATTGTTCTTCCTATGAGGTTGCAAACTCCTTCAGCTCCTTCAGTCCATTCTCTAACTCCTCCATTGGGGACCCCATTGGGGACCCCATTGGGGACCCCATGATCTGTCGAATGGTTGGCTCAAGTACCCACCTCTGTATTTGTCAGGCTTTGGCAAAGCCTCTCAGGAGACATCTATATCAGGCTCCTGTCAGCATGCACTTCTATGCATCCACAATAGTGTCTGGGTTTGGTGACTGTTTATGGGGTGGATCCCCTGGTGGGGCAGTCTCTGGATGGCCTTTCCTTCAGTCTCTGTTCCACATTTTGTATCTGTATTTGCTCCCGAGATGATTATTATTTTGTTCCCCTTTCTAAGAAGGAACAAAGCACTCATACTTTGGTCTTCCTTCTTCTTGAGCTTCATGTGGTCTATGAATTGTATCTTGAGTATTCTGAGCATTTGGGATAATATCTACTTATCAGTGAGTGCCTACCATGTGTGTTCTTTTGTGAAAGAATAGGTTCTTGTTAGCTTATAGGTAACATAACAGAGGAATGCCAAGAGTTTCTGTATCTAACTATAAAATTATAGACTCCCTCTTCTCAAATTACAAAGAACAGCAGATTACTTGAATCACTCATGTAAAAAATCAGTTTCAAATTATGGAAAAACCCAATAGGTATATTTAATGTGCACAAAATTCATGACTTATTTTATTCATAAGTGGTTCAATACCATGAAAAAGACAATTCTAATACATTGTCCACTTATCTATGATTATTTTAAAAATTTACACAGTTACAAAAAAAACTATGATATCATAAATTATAGTTAATTTTGTCTTCTTTTTTTCTGAGCATTTTATCCTAAAAATTCCATTGAGTAAATATTAAAATTGCATTAAGATAATATTCAATGTTTATATTAGGTTCAGACAGGGCATATTGTCTAAGTATCATGTAATATGAGGGTTTGTGCCTAATTTTATTAAATATTGTTATGCTATATTCAGTTGATACGCCTGAGAAGTATGCTCTTTTATGAGGTGTAATGGAGGTGTGAATCTAGGTTAAATAGGAGATAGGTGGTAGTCTGGGAGGAGTGGAGAGAAGGAACTCTGGTCCAGGTTTAATGTATGAGAGAAGAATAAGAAAACAAAAAACAAGCAAGTAAGATATTAGAGTTTGGACACCTGTACTTTTCTAGTAAGTTCTCTACCTCACTTCCTGGAGCTCACTTACTCATATGGTATTTCATAACTGGAAGTGAGGTTCACTTAATCTTATGATATTTCTTTTCACCACCTCATTGTTACCCACTTTAGAATATTAACATTATTTCTAAAACGAAAACAATTCCCTATTTTCTATGTTACTTATTGTTCAAATGTTGTCTTATGTTGTAGAATAGGTCAATTCTTGTGTAATATCTATATATTTATGTCGTCTTTGGAGAAGGCGCCACTCGCTCCTGGCAGGGGTACAGCTGACACCTCCATGGGAGAAGACATATCGAGGCCGCAGCTGTGTGGCCCTTCAAGAGGGTGCATCCAGTTGTCTAAAGGCACGGTGTACTGAAGGTAGTCCTGAGACATGAGTCAGATTGCTACAGGCACTGTGTTCCTCCAGCTGGAGACTCAGGTCTCCGGGTGAGCTGGGGCATCAGCAGGACTCAGGGCATGGCTCTGAGTGCAGGTCTTACAGCTCCCTGGTCTGCAGTAGCTCCCTGGCCTGCAGTAGCACCCTGAGTTGCAGCTCATTGCTCACACTGTTGGCTCATCCCGGGCTAGCAGCATTCACCAGCACCTTCACTTGCATCTCCAACTAGATGCGTATTTCCTCCCAGCTGGTGGGACACAGCAGCCAGGGCATGGGGCTACAATGGTGGCTTCACAGTGATTTGGAACGGGTGGGCCTTGGAGCACGCACATCCTTGTGGCCACTAGTAGCTGAAGCTGAGGAGGTGTCCTCATCTGTGGGCTCAATGCCGCTCTTGTCCTTGGTCTTCTGCTTGGTGGACAACTGCCTCTTCAAAATATCCATCAGACTCTTGCTCATAAAAGACTGTTAATCACTTCAATGTTTCGTTGAGTATGGATAGAGGATATGGGCTTTTTTGAAAAAATGGTAGGGATTTGAGATGTACAAATTAATTTTTTTCTTTACTAATACAGTTAATTACTTTGACGTAAAATTTGTGAATATACGCTAAATATGCCACATCTAGTATTAAAGTTATTAAATGCAAAAATCAACAAAAGGAGTCTTGTTAAGTAAGGTAAAAATCTTGTGCAGCAAAGGGCATGAGGTGAAGGAGGAGCACATAATGCAAGAAAACACCTTTGCAGTTATACACATATAACAAAATACTAGTATTTAGAAAGTACAAACAACCAATAAATAGAAACATCAATTCAATTTAAGTATAGTCATATACAATTAATTATATATTTATAGTTAAAGTATGTAGTATAATTATATATTTAATTTATGTATAATATATAAATTATATATAATTGAATTAAATTATATAAGTTTATAATTTAATTATGAATTATATAATTTAATAAATTAATAATACAATTTAAAAATAGTCTGGAATTTTGATGCAGATTACATT